ACATCCGCTTCCACGGGTGCATTTGTACCTCACCGAAATTCGCCCGGATAGCACCTCACCTGTAATAATATGTAAACTGTGTTAGTTGTATTAGTCAACTGCTTAATACTTTGTTATGTATAAAATATCGTCTGTTCGTCTTTTGTGGGAAATTCGTATATAAACAGACAGCATCCTGTAAACTGTAGATAAATTTTTGTACACGAGGGAGCGGTTTGAAGTTGTCTGAAGCTCTACTAAGTCTACAGTTTACAGTTTTCACGTGCAATCATAGAACGAAAAATAAACAAGTTATTTTCATTAATTATCATTCGTTGGTTGAGCGTGAATGTAAGAATAATTGACTTCGTCTTAGCGATTAAAATTCTCCTCATCAAGATTTCAGTTTGATATAATCATAATAATATCATTAAAATATAGAGTTCTTCTTATATACAGTTTTGAAATAATATACTTACTCTAGTGTAGTAAAGTTATCTTTTTCAAACATTGGTGTTGTCTGTTAACGAAGAAAACTAAATTGTCTAAATATCCATGTACCAATTACAAAAACGATTAATGAAATCAATCGCTTTAAAAATTTGTTATGGATGGCAACGTGAAAGTAAAAATAGTTTTTAGTAATTAATTAATGTGTAATCTTTAATTTACGTACCTATATGAAACAAAAACTGAAGGTTTGGTGTAAATATTTATGGAATTCCTTTAATCGCACGATTTGATTATATAGAGACGCAGTTTAGCTAATGATGTTTATAGTTCAACAAAAAGATAAATAATTCTTTCAACAGTATATACTAAAACCAATACATTAGATCAATAGATAATTATATGCATTAATTGCATTGGTATGTTTTTTTTTTCATTGTCATTTTAAATATTTGGTTGTCAATGTTCAAGAATCATAAGTAAGGTAAATGGTATAAATGTATATAATTTAAACATATTAGAATAGAAGTAACTTGTAAAAAAGATTAAAAATAATCAACATAAAAGATTCCTCACAGGTTTTTTTTAAAAATGGTTATAAAAATACTGAATGTAGGTACCTATATCAATATATTAATATAAAGTTAACATTTCACAAATGTGTGTGAGCTTTATTTAATAATAATACATCAAATAAAAACCAATCAAATAACATAACAGAACATTTAATAATTGTGTAAATCAATACTATTTTCAATAACTATCTTAATATATTAAATAGGTACGCACAACTTAAGTTCACACATTATAAATAAATTATTTTTTTGCACAGCAAAACATGAAACGGACAAATTGTTTTGTCCTTTTTCCACAATGAACATAGTTTTTTAAGCTCAACCATTGTTAACGCGGGCTCTATTTCAGCACTGCTTGCATGATCTAAATAAGTATGCTTATGTTTATTTCCTATAAATAAAAATAATATATTTTCAACTTTTTTCTAAAAATTTTCTTAAAACATTATTTATTATGCATTTACATACAAATCGTGCATTTAAAAAAAAAAATTCGTTATACGTTATTTACGATTAAAATGTTATTCAACTTTTGCGTTTATCGTTATTCGGAATTAAAATGTTTATCTTATTTAATAGTTTATTAATTAAATAATTTAAATTATTTCTTATTTTTTTTTTTAATGATATACTATATATAACTTTGTGTTATGTTTTGTTGGATGATATATATTTTGTTAATCGTTATGTTTTATTTTGTGTTGTTTAGCTATTTATGTTTATCATTTTCCGTAATAATTTCGTTTACAGAAAGTATAACTTATGTAGTTTTATAAATAAGAGGAGCAATAATATAAAATTTTAGGGAAGAGCAAAATCAAAAAAAACGTATTTATTCTTATACGTAAGATAATAATGATTTAATATTATTTTCACATAAAAATTTAAATACGCTTATCAACAGGTGGCTGTGGCCCCAAAAAAGATTAAACAAATTATATATATTTTTTTTTTTATGCTCATTATTTTTTGGTACCTCTTCTTAATATGAACATGAAGTTACGAAACTCAAAACGTATTCCTTCACCTAGATTTCAAATCAAATGTAGTTTTCATAAAAAAACGGTTTTTCGGAGCCTTTCATTGTATAATTTTCGAAAATGATATAAATTATTACATAAAGAGGTAGAACGACATTTCACTAAACATTGTAAACTTGTTTCAAGCTAATTTACAAACACCATACACTCAAAAAAATAGAAATTATTGTTTTTTTTTTGCAAAAAAAGTCAACAGGTTGCTGTGGGCCTCGTGAATGATAATTGTTTTTTTAATAATTTTATTTTTTTTAAGCTCAGTATTTTCTATTACCTCTTTTTAATGAGCATATTGAATTTCGAAACTCAAAACGTATTCTTTCACTTAGATTTAGAATCAAATGTAGTTTTCATAAAAAAATGGTTTTTCAGGGCCTTTCATTGTATAATTTTCAAAAATGATAAAAATTATTACATAAAGAGGTAGAGCGATATTCTACCAAACATTGTAAAATTGTTTCAAGCCGATTTACAAACACCTTACACTAAAAAATAGGAGTTATTTTTTTTTTTGTTAAAACATGTATAACACGTGGTGGTGGGTCATTTTTGAACATAAAATTACTTATTGATATCTTGTGGTGGGTATGAAGTTTCGAAATTTAAAACTTATTTCTTCACCTAGATATCACGTAATATGTGGTTTTTAAATAAAAAACGGTTTTATTTACATTTAAAATTTATAGAATGTAAGAGTACCCACCTACTATAAGCTACTAGAGAAAGGACTCGTAAAAATGTATTTATAAATCACGATTCACGAGCATTTTTAATCTATGAAAAAATGTCTAATTTTTCGATATTATGCATTGAATCTGATTTGGATAAAAATATAAAGTGGGGATAAACTAATATATAAATAATTTGCTACAACGAAATTCAGAAAAAAAGATTTTTAAATACAGAATATTTTAATTGTTTCAACTATAAATCATGAGATAATTATAAACGACTTTAACTACAATATTGTAAATCTATTAGATATTATAATTTTTTAACTTACTTATTAATATATTTTCAATTTAAGTTAAATCGCGTTTTTTTAAAGTTATTCATCTTAATGTATTTATTGATACATGAATAAGTTAAGCTACTTAAACAATTTTTTTCTGGTTATGAGAAGGGGGTGAAGGAGTAAGCGGCAAAAATTGTTTGCTTCATGGCGGCATTGGATCTTAACCCGGCTCTGTTTACACAACATGGTTTAGTGAGAACTCGGTTTAATATGTAGATAAACATATATTCATATAATATTTTTAGTCTCATTCTTTTGCGAATGATCTACAAGAACATACTTGTAACATACCAGCTTGGTAATTTTTTTGAAAAATTTACGGATTATTTTAAAGTTTAAAGCTTCAACCTCCGAGGCGGCTGCAGTAGTGCACGAATACCAGTCATGAACGCCTGCATGCATCTTAAATAAAATCACGTTCCCATATGATAAATATAAAAAAACACAATGAAATAATATATTTATATATATGTATATATATTTGTATATGCGACGATATTATTATAATACATTTAACGTGCTTTTGTGTGACGAATGGGTACTTGATTTTTTGATTTCTATCATTATTATATTTTCCTTTTCATGGACGACAATAATATTATAGGTATATAATATGTATATACGTATAAAGACATTTCTATGATCAGATTTTACATTTTAGATGCATCTATACTACGGTAATTATTATTGTTACGAGTGTTACAACGAATTGACTCCATACAACATTATAATATATTATTGTAACCACCTGACGAACAATGAAAATATCACGTATCTATACGAATGCCTGTGATAAAGAAGTTATAATATTATGTAATAAATAATAATATTATCGACTATATACATAATATTATAGTTATAAGCAACGATATATTTATGGCACCTATATCATACATATAATAAAGTCGTACACGAAATTCATTTTTTTATACGAAGATTTTTACAGCAATATTATTACTATCGTTTGTACCTACTATACAATAAGATGTGGTGACAAGCGTTATAATACCGAACACACACGTCGTATTTTATACATACAAATGGTATATTAATACGTATGTACAACTGTTGCTAACAAGCGATCAAAGCCATGTTGTAAATACGAATCGATGAGTTGTCGAAAACGAACAAATTTCACGCTTATCCGAAGAAGTAATAATTTTGATTCCGATGGTACTAATATTAAAAACTACGGTTGTATAGTTGAGTGTGAGTAATAATATAAATATTACATTTCACGTACGTTTTTGGACCATTTCAGTGAGTTATCAATCGCATAACACCCGTTGTGCATTTACAACGGAAGTTTATCTAATCGGCTTAATTTTTTTGAGTTTATTTAGGACTTAGACCAAAAATTAAGTCACTTTTAATACAAAGAAAATTCTTGATAAAAAATAAGAATAAAATAGTATCCTTCAGAATAATTGAATCTGAAAAAAATTTCAAAAGGAACAGCAGTCTAGCGATAGAAACTAACAAAATTAGCGTTGAATGATTTTGAAAATTACGCATAAAAATCAATATTATCTATGATAAAATTAAGTGATTATTATGTTAGATCATACTAAACCATCAAAAATACAGGCAAATCAAATCCAGCCGAGTTCATTTAAATGGTCACATAAAATAAAATACTTATATATTCGTATTATGTTAGGGTCGTAGAGAGACACTTTTCTTAATCTATTTTTTGACAATTTTTCCTTAAAGTTATTTATTTTTTCGAAATATTTTTTCCTAATACAAAACACAAATAATTATTACTAATTTTAAAATGTATTAGTATAATAAAAAAAGTAATATGAATAAATAAAAGTGTATTAAAATTTTAAATAACGAACAATTGCCGTGAGGTAAATAAATATATTATTGTTATTAACAAATTTGTCATATTTGATAAAAATATTATATATTCATTCTTATATTTTCGTATGTACCATGTTAAGATTCTTTCTTATTTTTTATCCCAAATTCACTTCGCCGTAACATGAACTCGATGTTGGTCTCTTTATTTGGCTCAAAAAGTGCATCCGCCAACGGAAGTCCAATAACTTGATCAGTTTCATTAGTTGTTTGTGTGATGGCTTCTAATATGGTAAACAACTGAAAAAATATTGTTGGAAAAACTTTAAATGTTCTATCAACAAACTAGACAGAGCTATTTATTATAAGTCTCAAAAAGTATTTTATTACAAAAATGATTATTCTTCCTCATATTAACTAATAACTATAGATTTTTTAAATGAATCGTATGGTAAAAATTGTTCTCTTGTTAGAGTTTGTTTAAACATAATTGGTAATTCATGTAATTTTTCCATTCTTCGAAGGTTTGATGGCATATTTTTTATATATTTTTGTGTTATTATATCTTTTTTATATTTTTACACTCAAGATAATCTATTAGGATATCAGGTGGTACTTATTGCTATACTGTCCTCTAGATTTGTGCTGGGACCCTGGGGTTGTTTTTGGATATTCACTGGCTCTTCTTTTTATATCTGTCATAACTTTTAAGGCATAAACTTCTTCAAAATACGGTGGGTGGTAAAGCATAGAATTTTGAGGGTCTTTATGGATTACTATATTTTGTATAGAATAACTCGTGATAGCTCGAGCAAAGTATTCACCTTTTTTACAACTCCGATAAAAAGGAACTTCGGTTTCTAAATGCTTATCAACATGAAAAGTTTTCTTTATCCATTTGAATTTATAATTTTTACAATCATTTTAATGAATACGCTTGGTATAAATACCATTGAATTTTCGAAAAACCAATGTTAATACACAAATTAATTTACAGAAAAATTTCATATTGTAACAACGGCTGTCAAAATAAAATTAAATCAGTTAAATCAATGAAAAAGTCATTTGATGATCAATACTGACTATATTTTATCCGATTAATCTAGTAATAAGAATGTAAATATAAAAAAAAAAAAAATTAAAACAAATTAAATATAATATAATAACATTTGATAAAATAATTATAACTATAATAATTATATTATATTAATATTATTATATATTTATATTATTATATCATTTATTATATTTAATAATTACATTAAATATAATATTACGCATATCACTGGTCTAGATTATTATTTTAATGAACATGACGATTATATGTAAATTTATTATATACACACAAGTTATAATGTCTGACATGGAGTCAAAATACTATACACCTATACATTTAATATATAGGTAATAAGTACACACAAGTCCTTACAAAAATAAGATTATAATTTTTTTTTTTTTCTTTGTAAATATTAAAATGATATATTAGATTTAAACGTTGAGTAATAATATTTGTTATTTTTTTATCGTCCAAGATATTATTTAAGAGGATTGAAGACACAACATTTTTATGTACGTAAATTATTATTTTTTGCATATACAACGATATATTCAAATGTTATGTTTTGTTCAAAAATTATTTCAACCAGCTATATTATTATTTTTAAAATAAATTATTTTATCTATAGTAATATAAAAAAAACATAACACGCGCTTAGTAATATTTAGGCTGATAGATCGCCTTCGCTTGAGATCGTTTTTTGTAGGTATGCAATAATTTATCATTGAATTCAAACTTAAATTTTAATGCATAATTCACTACAATGACTTATTTCTCAACGACGAAAAACACTCATTACCTATAATACACTAAATAAAAGAGCGATTACTTTAATTTCCTTTTCTTTTCCTTATTGAACAATAAATAATTAAAAAAAAGTCTTTGAATCTATAGGTATGGTATAATGAACTAATATTTAATAGATCAGAGGTTCTTTTTAATTTTGGCAATCCACAATATTATTAAAGACCTATTTATTTTTTTTTGCCGTTTCGTGGATCAGTTATGATTTACAATTTGGGAACCTTAACAATAGATTATTGTCTTCCTTGAGAATATTGTTTTTTATTTTAATACCTTTCATGACAAATATAAATTTGACTAGTTTTTTCAGTCAGAATAAACGAAGACGGACGATGCGAGACGTGTTATAATTCTATACAAACCTGAATTTAAATTGTACTACATAAGTATTAAGCATACTATACTGCGATATTAAGTAATATTATGGGTTGCAGCGTATTACGTTCGTGGTATAATAAAATATAATAATATGTTGGTCACTGCGATTGTTTCCGCGGATCGACCGTAAACACTTTTCTTGGGTATGTTCGTATAATACATTATAGTGTCACTTCGTATATAAGGATTAAAAAAAAAAAAGATAGAAAACGTTAAATTATTATGTCTGCGGCATAATGTATCATATTACTTATATATAACGATACTCGCTCCGTAGCATATTATGATTATGTATAGCTGATGCCGTTATTATGTTCAATAGTCCGGCTCGATTGAAGATCGTCGTCGTCGTCGTCGTCATTGTCGACGGGGAAAAATAAAAAATAATCGAACCTAAAGACGACGAAGGGCGATCTGCGGAAGTGATGGGAGGAGGGGAGGGAGCCGCTTATACACACACTTACATATGATGAGCGTTATATATACATCAGAAAATAAACGGACCGACTTTTGCTGCGACCGCAGCACTCTCGGGGGACCGATAACGGGCGTAAAAAATAAAACACTGAGTTGAGAGAAAAAAAAATACCGAAACGAAAAAAACCACCACCACAGCGAGGACTAGTCTATTTATATATATATATATATTATACGTACAACAAACTGGGACGGAGTAAAAAAAAAAAAAATAAACGGTAAACCTCAGAGGAGTCTATAAACTCTGATGTGTGTGTGTAGGATGTTATGACAGTTGACGAATGTTCGCTTCATCAGCGGTAATCGTTCGTGCGGATCTGCGTTGTCCCGGCGACGAGTCGCGACCGCGTATCCTTCGTGTGGCATGATGTATCGACGGCGGCAGGACGAAAATATCGTTTTATTATACCCACGCCACCCTTGTCAAACGATCCTGCCACCGTTATCATCTGCAGAGCGCGCCGCAATTCACTTCGCGATTTTGACGGGCCAAGGTCGATTTTTTGCAGTAACCATATATTGTGCACTTGTATGTTCTTTCGTCCGATGTCGGAGTTTTATTTCGTCTTTTTTCCGACAAGCAAATCTTTTTATGGCTATCGATTCGCGGTTAATCCAGTCCTATCTAGCTCTATCCCCCCACCCTCTCACCAAAAACACACACTGCCGCCACCAACAGTCACCGGCCGACCCGCCAAAATGTTCGTTTTCAGCTATATATGAATCGCCTGCAACAGACCAAAACTTAAAATTACTATAATAATTGTATAATTCGATTTTTACCGGGAAAAATTGATCAAACATAAAATACGAAGTACCGTAATATTATGTAGATGAATCTCGGTTTCGGGTATCTTAACGTTCATGGACAAATCATCATCGGCAAATTTATTTGACATAGTTAGACCTGTGGCAGATTGCAGGATATAACACTTAGTATTTTTAAACTTGGTTCAAATTACTGTCTCAACTTTCTTGATGGTTTTAATAACAGTTTCTAAAATATTCGTTAAAATTAACGAAAATTAAATTTAGTACACTCGAGTTTAAAATAAAAAATTCTCCTTCCCCCATTTAATTTTTTTAATTTTACAAAAATCAAAACTAATAAAAACAAATCATTATAAAGTTTTTAGTATCTAGGTTGAACCCAATTTGTTTTAATTACCATAGTATATAATAATTTGTGTAATAGATAGAACGCAGTTTATATATACATATTTTATATACCTAGATAATATAATATGTAATACTAAATGTATACTATGAAACATCAAACCTTTTGAATTTAGACCGAGTCCTAATAAAAATAAACTATTATAAATGCGGCGTCCACAAAATCATAGCTGCTGTGGTTTTTGGTCGTGTTCCAAAAGTTAATTATTATTATCATTGAATATATTGTAAAATACCTATATGGTATTGCGTACGTGTAAATATTTACACAATAATAATATAGGTCTGAACTATATAAATGTATATGTGTGTGTGTGTGTGTGTGTGTAAGTATATGCGTATACATGTCCACATATTAGATCAATGTAATATAATATTATTAAAAACATTATAATATAATATATACAGCGATATCGCCATGGGATTTATACAATATATGGTGAAACAACTGAGATGAAGATAGTTGAACCATGTAATATGTATGTAATATGGATATGAATTAATTAATTAAAAACCTTTTCCAAAAATAATATTATCAACACGAATATTGTGATATTATATTATGTTATACGCATCTCGCGTGATTAAGAACAAACACGCGTCATGTATAATATAAAGGTATGATATATTATAAGCATTTTATTATTATTATCATGGTGATACATAATATCGGTAAATGTCCCTCATCTCTACGCTTGAATCGTTTTTTCAATCGATAACTGTTATAGTGATGAAATGATTTGTACACTGTAAGCGTAGTACATAATAAGCATAGAATAAACACGAGTAATAAAATATAATAAAATACAATGTAGGTACGTATCAGGCGGGTAGTCCCTCGTCGTCGTGGAAGCTCTTTCTCCTTGGAGACCACGTGCGAAACCTCCCTATGGATTTTAAAACTAATTAATTTAACATTTTGTTTGTAATCATCTATGTACGCAAGGCTCTCGAACGCCATTATGAGCGTGTACTTTTGCCGGACGAATTTAAATCACAACGATACACATACGCCTATTAAACTGCTATACGCAACAATATTACAATATTATCGGTATACGTACCTATGTTTATATGATATATGTCCGACCACCCACCCACACCGATGTCCGTAGACTGTCGATGAGAACGACTGATCTGTGTATTATTAATGCATATATTTTCATTTTTATTCCTCTACTCTTTCTCAAAGTAAACTAGTCGAATTTTCAACTGCAATTAAGGTTACTTAAATGTAAAACACTTAAGAAGAAATCCATAGTTGCATAACTAATGTTTGACGGAGCTAAAAACTTAGCAATTAATGGGTATTTAAATTAAATTTTATGTTCTACTAATGTTTGTACTGAATTCTCATTTCCATTAACAGACCAAATCGTATTGATGACTAGCCCATATTTTAGCCCAA